TCTTGTCTATATTACATGCTTTCTGCCACATGTTTTCCTGTGTTTTCAGTTGTGTCTTAATCTTCTAATGTGTTTGCTGATTCTCCTAATTTTTTATTCTCTATGAACAGTATAAGACTTTTGGCTTATATGTTTTATTAACATGTATAATTTACTAAAAACCATAAATTATTCTAACATTCATTTTCATTTTCACTTAAAACATCTTTCCATTTATTTCTTATTTCTATATCTTCTTTATTCTTGTGGTCTTATTTTTGTTCTTGGGATTCGCTTTGGATCTTCATTTCTTTTTAAGTTACTGACTGTTTTCATGGATTTACCCACTGTATGTTCATGATGGTGTTAGATTGTTTTGCTAACTTTATTTATCCTTGGCATGAAATTGAAAGAGCACTGGATTTCTGGCTTCTTGTTTCAGAATTGTACAACCATATAGAAAACCATATTGAATCCCAGTTCCCGAGCTGACTGAATTAAGTAATGTCAGTATGATTCAAGGTTCTGTTCTGTTGACTTACTCCTGTGGACGTGTCATGCATTCATTTATTGTAACAGATGACTATATTAGAACATTTACAACGAATTATGCAAATCTTATGTAGGTGGATTCTTATCCTTAATTCTCCAAATATAGAATTTACCTATCAAAAGATTTTTGTTTTACCAGCAGTCAAACGCTATTTTAAATTCTTAATGAAATTGCAGCACACAGCTTTGAACTTTGATTTTTATCCTAAAAAACATTTGTCTGGGATGTTTTTTAAGTGATTTTATTTTTTCCACCTTTTTCTAAAAAGTGCTGCTTTAAATAACATACTTCATGTAATATTTACCATGCACAGTGAAAAGTGCATTTGTTCATTAATAACACGTTGTCAGCAGTTTTATTTCTTGTTTCCTGTGCTGGAGTTGATGCTAAGGTAAGTTGAAGGATTTGTGCATTGGAAAATGAAACTAAATCTGGCAGGTGGAAGCAGAAAATATTGGCCCAGAATTAGAATATAGCTGAAACTTTGTGAGTTTCATTCCATAAACAGCCATGCCTGGCCATCGTGCACCCAGAGATCTTCCACTCTTGAGATGAAATGAATGATGACAGAATTTAACTTTTCTGCAAGGACACTGAGCAAATTTTGATAGATAGCTTCCTGTGAGGCAGTGTCTGTATTTTATTTTCAGCAGCAGCATGAGGTTGCCAAGAACATTTAAGTAACTCATAAATTATTTACTGTACATAGTGTAAAGATCTGTGTCAACGGGAGATCTTGAAATGTAAAGTTAAATAATCATTTAATTATATCTTATTAACAATCAGCTTTAGCATATGTCTGGTGTCTTTTTTGATGTGCTTTATGATTTATGCAACTGAAAGCATCACATATTATCCTTTAAAATGTTGTTCTTAAAGCATCTATACATTTACACATTTCAGAATGGCTGAACCAGTAAAGGCCCTCACTCAGAGACACAGACTTTGCAGCTTTAAACTTGGGTCATCGTTAGTTTTCATGTGTGACATGTGGCTAAGGTCCTCCCTTATAGTGATGTCATTAAGAAATGCACAGCTCCTCCAGTTAGCTCTAACTCTCGCGGAGGGTACTATGGCGCCTGTACATGCTCACAAGATGACTGGCTTTGACAAGTGGATGCCTCAGAGGAGCATGTCTGCAGGTCTTCATTCCCCCGGTGCAGAATAAGAGTTGTAGCCCTAAGCCAAATCCTGAGACAATTAGGGATTCCAAACTGGGTGGTTATATAATACAGTGCATAAATAATTGCAGATTCCTTTTTAAAAAAGACACAATTCATAATGCTATGCCTACTCATTATAGATATACACAAAGCTCGCAACCAGTTTTTCCAAAGGGCTGTAAAAGGACTCAGTTTTTACATTAATTTCCAGATATTTAAAATGCTAAACTGTCTCTTCCCTCTTTTAAGGTTTAATCAGAAACCATTTCATGAAAATCCCTTAAGAAGGAGAGATAAGTGAGTCACCAGATAAGGACATCTTTCTATTATTGCCTAATCCAATAGATGTATGAGTTATTGGACTTCAGTCTTGTGCCTAATATCTGTTTCCCTTTTCACTGCAAGACCTAAGGGAAGCTTAAAAAACATTTGACTAAATAAGTGACCTGGTGAAGGAACACAAAAAAATATCACTTGCCATTTGTGTAATGCTAATCTTTAATTTGAAAAAGTCCCTCCAGGGACAAGATGAGCATTAAGGGCTCAAGGAGAAGTGACTGATTTGCAGGATTCCTACGAAAATCCTTCAACCAGATTACTAGCTGTTTAAGATGATATGAGCCTTTCAAAAGTTATTTAATTATGTGTGTAGTACCTGCCTAGCTCCTGAGATATTTGTAATTCATATTCACAACTGCATTCTTCAATACCCCCAATTTAAAAATGCTGGTGTTGAGACGAGCAAGTGCTTCCTACAGCACTTCGTGTCAAAATATCTGCAAAAAGGTGCAGAATTACTGTTTAAGAGCGTTTAGTGCAAAAAAATAAAGAAGCAAAACTCCAAGTTCTTTTTTGTCAGTGTCAGTTGTCCTCCCGTACTGGATAAACATCTGCCATGACAGGGAGCTCCAGTGATTTGTCTTTGGAAATATTCTTCTTCAGCTCAAGTGTGCCTTGAAAGGATTTATGAGTAATCACTTATTTTCTCCTGTGCCCACAGTTCTGAAGTAACACTTTTCCCTGTGAGATGTTCTTTCAATTAAGTGCAGGATCATTTGAGCCTCTGGTTCTTTTTCTCTCTTCTTTTGATGTTCTGAACAAAATAATTGATATGCAAATTGTAGAGTCAACCTTAGAATGCAAGAAAGGTTACTGATGAGACAAGGCATTTTGGGCCATTTTGCATATCCGGTAGTTAGGAGCGTCTTTATGTAAATCCGATGGGTAGAATGCTTTTGAGCATGTTGCTTCAGTATGAAAAGACAACTTCACAGAACATTGTGCAGCTTCAGTGTGTTGACAAGGAAATAATTTAATCTTTTTGTTTTCTTACAAAACTTCTAGTTTGCAGAAACTTCGGCAAGATGGATTTTAAAATAATTGCCCTGATAAGTCAGGATGGAATCACTGCTATTTTATAAATTATTCTTCAAAGTGAGCCCTTACACAGATGAAAATCAATGTTCCATGTACAGCAGAAGGCAACTTCATACCAAAGTCAAGGACTGGCATTTTAATACAATGATATAATAGTTTCAGCATTAGTTAATATCATGCTAAACTGAGATTTTTTTAAGGCTGAATTTTCTTCTTTAGCTTTGCACAATAAAATAATCCAAAGATTTACCTTGATATTTGCAAGGGTTTTTGCTTCAGAGGCTCCAGATCCTGAATTGAAAGCAATGTTATGATGATGTTTAGTCTTTCCACAAGAGACCAGGGCAGAGATGAAGGTCACAATTATTACATTTTAAGATAGCTGTACTACAAATTAGCCATTTTATGAATGACAAAACTCATACTCTTGAGGTAAAGAATTCATTTAACAAATTCCGTGAAATTTCTGAGAGATGACACCTTGTTTCTAAACTCTGGTCCCCGTGGGCTCTGAGCTATGTTGAGCTACCTATTGGCAACCGAAGTGTTGTTTGGAGAGATGGAAAAAAAAGGACAAAAATAGCTTTTAGAATATAGCTTGTCATTGTGAATAACAGAAACATCCATGTGAAGACTGATTTAGACATCCACATTTCTTTAATGCTAAATCTAACAACAAAACTAGTATTACTGTTTCTTTTGTAAGCTAGGTTTGAAAGACGCAAGGTTTTTGTTGACTTTGTACACTTTTGAATGTACATTTTCAAAGTGAATGTTCCATTTCTACTAATATGAACTTTTTAGAATTGTTTTACAGAAGTTAAAGTTTTTTTTTTGTTCTCTGACAAAAAAAAACAATATACAATTTGTGTTCATTGAATAAATGTGTCTGCAGAGACTGCCTTGATGGATTACATGTAGATTTTATTCTTGCAGTCCAAGATTGTGCTCTGGGACATCTGGCATTGTGTGTTGTGTGTTTTGGAAACTATAAATGTAATAATTCTCCTAGACAGAATCTATACAAAAGTATGAAACCTAAACTTCAGCTAATAGTCTTGAGTGTTTTTGTGACATAACACAGAAAGAATGCTTCAACCTCTGCGTGGAATTAAGCAATCACCCTACCAATCAATCACTCCTTTGTAGGGATATAAACATGCACCTACCCACACCCCCACACAAGCAAAACACTCAAAAGGGTCATCAAAGTGTTGAGTCACCCTCACTGAAAGATTCTAGAGCAGCCCACACATTTATGATAAAAAAATATTTCTATTAGGTTTTCTGATCTTCTTGTGTCTTTACTTTCATCACAGTTCTTATAATCATATATGTAAGCCTTTATCTGTAATTTACTATTAGTTCGTTATTCTAGGAGCATTGATATCATATACAATCATTATTTTAAATGTAATGGCTGTTTCGGTAGTTTTAAACTGACCATATTCTGGTCCCTTAAAGTCACATACATATAAACTAGCCTATCTTTGGAGTGTGAACTATTCAGATTAAGTGCAGTAAGTTAAGACACATTTGTCATCAGAATAACGTTGATTTAAACTTCAATGTGTTTGTATTTATTTGCTTGATAATCACCGTCAAATCACCGTAAAATACTCTAAATCAATTTCTAATTTTGAGTCTGTTTTGGTGACCAGTAAGGGCTCTATAATGCAAATCTTGAACGTCAAAAAGAAAAAAGTTTACCAACACAAATGAGATACTGTAAGATACCGTTACTACAGTATATCATTAAAATTGTTAGCAAGAGGATTATATTTACTGTTTTTGGGAATAGTTAAGAGATTAACAAGTGCTTCACAAAACAAATCGACAGAGTTTATGCGGGGGCGTGTTCACTGTAGAGGCGGAGCCTCGGATTAAGGGCGACGCGTTGCCTTAGCAACCACTGCGGCCCTGGCTGATTAAGGAAGAGCGCTAGCTAAGCACACTGAGCACCTCCCAGAGGGGCGAGCAGACTCCCGCAGGGGGAGACCCTTCCAGCCACAGCCCCGGGGGGATGGGACTGTGACGCGAGCGTAAGGTTCTCGTTTTCCCTTCTTTTGATTATTTTCCCAGCCTGGACACCGCTGTGCAAAGCGGTTTGTTTTTCGGTTTTCGCTAAGGTGACACCGGTGCCTCCGCCCCCTCAGAAGGGGCGTCGACTTACTGGTGCGGGACGCGTCTCCTCCCACTCCCGCACTGTTCCAGTGTTTAACCAAGACGATAGTCAGCGTTCACCAGAAATATCTTCTTTGTTTTCTTTTCAGCTCAGCTCAAATTGACCTAACTGTTAAAGAAGATTTCTGTGTACTATTTTCTATAGGTAACGCTATGAATAAAAACTATATACTGTATTTCATGCAGCTATACAGAGTTAATATATCTGATTTTGGAACCCCATTCAACTGCAACATTTAAGTTAATGCAATCTTCAGTATAACTTTTACGTATATTAAACACTTTAGTGCAGACACTATATTGTATATGGTTCATTTTCCTTTCTTTTCTGATACAATAACCCTACTTTTTTATGCAAATGTTATTTGTAGAACAAGTGTGTTGGAGCTTTCCATAGGCGTAACAAAGCATGTTGTCCATATAATGTTCTGTATTGCACAAATGCTTTTTTAACAGTCCTTAGGATTTATGGGGAGGCCAGTTGCACACTTCTTTCTTCCCTTGCTTGCAGACTCGGGAAGTAAACAGCTCCCAAGATGTCTCAAGGTGTAAATGTATGCTTCAGGGCCCAACAGTAAATTTGTATATACATTCAAAGACAGTTAAGTTTGGTCTACTGGTTATATTTTAATGCTTTTTGATTAGCTGCAAAATTGATGCCAGTTCTGCAAACGGAGCACATATTGATCATGTCATGTTTTTACAATTCTCCTATACAATAAAATAGACCACTGCCATAGCTTATGAATTACTAAGAGGAAAGACTCAAGCCCTATGGATGCTTACTTGAGTTTGCAAAATCGCCTTTAAAATCACCAGGCTCTGTGGCACTCGCATAACATGATGTTATAAAGGAAAGCAAGTTTTTCTTTCCTCTTTTTTTCCACTTGCAGTTTCTATTAATGATACGTTTTTCTGTTTAGCAAAGGCCTTTAACAGAAACTTCTTCCCCGTTAACAACGTTTGTGCTCTGTCTCTCTCTGCTGACCCCCTTAGAGCTGACAGAGTGTCTGGGGAGAGAAAGAGAGCATGGAAAGAATAATTGCATGATAGTTTTCTAAGGCTCCTCTTTAACATGTCCTTTGAAGTAGATAGTGTAGGGGCAGCAGTGTAGAGTCCTGGTTAGCATTCTGGAGTCAAAACTGGAAGGCTATGGATTCAAATCCCAGGTTTTATCCTTGAGCAACTACCCAAATATCCAGCTATATAAATGATTTCAAAAGCAGATTAGTTTGAGCAAGTAACACTTCAAATTAATAGTTACTAGTAAGGTAGTGATATCAGACGTGAGCTGAATTATCATGAGAACTGTAATCAGGTGTGTTGATACCATGGAAAGACATTTGTCTTATAAAACCAATACAGAATTTGCAAGAAATATTTTCAAAGTTCTGTCTGTGCAGAAAGAATCACCATCAGCCAGCATTTAGCTAAACATGATAAGCTATAAACCTAAAGTCATTTATCTATACCATATGTATTTTTTAATTTTGCATGCTATAAATAATTCAGTTTTTTATTTCTGTTCTTTGGAACTTCTGCCCCTCTTACGGTTAAGCCCGAGGAGACAAAAAGCAGGACATCTTCAAGAAGATACTGTAGTGGAACAGTTTGTGCAGATGGCTTCCTTTCTGTTAATCTCCTCCCTAGTTTTTTTATTCTCCATGAATGTTCAGTGTTGCCAGAAGAAGATTTAGAAGCAGTCATGTCTACGAAAAAAGAGAATAGATGCACTTAAACAAGTACATGATATCAAAGGGAGATAAGACTTTAAAGTTCTAAGAACTGTTTATTTCTGCTATGAATCTGCTTCTAGAATTCAACCTGAGTTGCAGGGGTGGCCAGTTTTGGATGTGGAGAGTCACAAGCATGCATGTCTTTTAGGTCAGCCTTAAATCATTGATTTGTGAAGACCTGAAACACTTGAATTTTGAATAATTTAGTTAGTTACTTGGTACAATTAAGTCAGGGATGTCCCAGTGGTCTTTGAGAGGTACAGGATATTGGCCTTGCCTAATACTCTCTAAACATAATTGAAAAATCCACATGCTTAAGTGGTCAAAATGAAATAGTTCCAGGTGTTCAGTTGTTTATTAGTGAAATAAAACCTTAAAAATGGTGGACTGTGTATCCCTAAGATCAGGATTGAGCACTCCTGCTCTATTGCCCATCAGTGAAACTTGGTTTGGGAAACAAAGACATGCAGAAGAGTATAAGAGACATTACCAGTTTCAATTATCACTCAACTAATATGTACACTTGCCCCTGGCTGCCACCTGCCATCTCTGAGGCACCTCCTAGTGTCTGATTCTTGGCACCACTTACTTCTCCCAAAGTCTGCCTTTCTACCATGGAAGACTCCAATGCTGTTGGGGAGCCCAGTCTATTGATAGCACTGACTGACTGTGCTATGAGAACTGTTACACAGTCTTTAAAGATGAAATGTTTCAGAACTGCATCTCGGACTGTGCAAGGAAAGTGGGATGCAAAAAGACGTCTTTTCATCTCAGTGCCTGTTCCCCAGATTGTAATTGCAGCTGTAGGGTTGTGAAAGGTGCCTGGGGACAGAGTCTGTTCTGAGGAAATGGAAAGTCAAGGAGCCTCTTGAAGAACAGCAGAAGTGAGTACTCATGTCCTCTATGCAAGTCATCAGCTTGCCTTGGTACCATCCAAGTCACAAGAAATATCTAATTAATCGTCATCAATGAAAACTGGCTTTTAAGGTTACACAAAGATATTTTAATAAGAGAGAGAGTCATATCCTCAAAGGATGGACTGTCACTTGAAATGTAATTGTTAAAAACAATATTATTTTTTCATCTCAAGCTTTTGTGTCCTGAAATTGCTATATTAAAAATTATTATATGGAGAAATGAGCAGCACCTCATTAAGGCTATGACTCATCAGGTGATCCTGAAATAATGTTGATCAAAAGAGCAAGTGAAGTTTTCTGCTCCCTTTAACACAAGAAATGACAAACCAACAGAACTGACAATTCATTTTTTGCTTGGACTTCCTCCAAAATATTCTACAGCTGTGTACCTTTCAATAAATTTTACTTTTAATTGTGACAAATGATCCCAGGTAATTTTCACAGTTGATTTACATAACTCTTTTGCAATTGCTTGAGACTGACAAGCCATGGAATGCTAATGGACACTGTTGCTTTCAAAAAGGAGATGGCAGCAATTCAAACTTCAGTTGGTCTTTTATTTTTTCTAATTTCTAACCTATAGATTCAACTCTGTATTCTAATTTCTGTCTTTTTGAAATGTCTCAGAAACGATACAAATTGCTTCATAGAAACATTGTAATTGAGAAGAAAGATTTATTAACAGTCTCATAATTTTCAGGCTTACAAGAAGCATCAGCATTAATCACTGATCTTATGAGGATAGCCATCTTCTCTCCACTTGCCTTCAGCTATTTTCAGTAATGTAGTATTTGACACTTGCGACAAGTTCACAGTTCTTCAAATAGAGCCTTATTTGAAAGAAACAAAATGGATTTACCGCCCCATCACTTTCTCAGAGACCATCATGTATGTGGCAGGATTTCACAAATTACTGAAGCAGAATGCCAAAAACTGGCACCAAGCATAGCATGTGCAGGGATTGCCTTCTGCCTTAAATGTCTACATCAGTTGGTGTTTCTTTGAGAATTAAATACACTGAAGAAGCATATTCACAAATTTGGATATCTTTTAATGTTTGTGTGCACATCCTCCAGAGCCCACTGCGTGAGGCAGATATTGTCCTTTTATTTATATCTGGAAAATGTTTCGTGAATTGTACAATTTATACCTAGAAATGTCTTTACATACAGCCCCCTTTCAGATATCCCCAAATCAGCCTGTAGACGCCTCTGAGCAAAAACTGTGTCTTAACTCCACAGTGCAGCCATTGAGGACACTCTCAATATATTTTAATTTCCTTAACTCAGCTAGCACAACAACATTTTTGAAGGCTGAGAAGATGAAAACATGCTCATACTTCAAGGAATAAGAAGTTCCCATAAAAGGCCTTATTTATCATTGTTTTCAGATGCTGAGTTTACACTGAAGAAACGCTGTTCTGGTACGCATGAAAACATGAGGACAAAAATGAAGCGAGCAAAGCCTTTTAAAAGGATTGGCTCCTAAGTGTGCAATAAATCCTCCTCTGTGTATAGTGTTGACATAAAAGTTCCTTTTTTCCCTTTCCAAATATTCAAAGCGAGCCTGTTTCCATGCAAAATAATCCCTTTAACATATGGTGGATGAGGTTTCAGAGGGAAAACACTAAGTGTGGTGGGGTAAAATGTATTGAACTGGTTAGCACAGGTTTGGAAATGTATTGAAATAGTTTGAGAGTTATCATACAGTATTTTGTCACTTTTCAAATCTTCCCTTTTCCTGAGGTTTCTCTGCTTTCAAATAAATCTGTGCACTGGCATATTTGCTGCAGCTATGGCGTGGGTTTGATGGCTGACAGAACAAACCGTTCAAAAACTGGTAGAAAAACTACGACTTTTTTTAGGATCAGTTTAGGATAAGTAGGCACACTTCTTTGTACAGACAAGAATGCTTTTATTTTCTCCAAGATTGTATTTGCAGATCCTTTCTCTTTGCTCTGTGCTCCAGGAGATTACAGATTTAATTGTTATTCATCTTCTGCAGAAAGCTAAATCAATTGGAAGTAGTAGGAACCAGACGCATACTATCTCCAGAGGAACTTTTTTTTTGGTGCATATCTAAAATGTGATAAAGCTAAACTGTGATCTCAGCAAGCCAATAAAAAACAAAACATTGGAACTTGTTTGGTGCTTAACAGATGTCTGATTTAAATGTGAAAATGCAGCCAATACTGAATCTTAGGAATCAATCTGTTAGTTTAAATTAGCAAGCACAAAAAAGTCGGTCTCAAAACAGATACTCCTTTTGTATTCATTTACTCACAATTAAGATACTTACATTTCTTATTGATGTTTTGTTCTAATGTCTATTTGTAAGCATTGCATAAGGGTAGTTATGTATTTCCAGCTGTGATCAGAAAATGGATTGCTCATGGTATGGACTGCAGCAGTCCTGAGTCTACCTAAAATGCACAGGGTGCAAAGTGGGACTAGTATGCCAGCCCATCCCTAATGAATATAATTAATTTTCAATATTCCTATGTGCTGTATTATTTAATGTGTATTTTACCAGAATATGAAGTATTTATTAGGGAATTGATGCAGAATAAAACTGCAACAAGCATAAAGGAGACCCCTTTCCGTTACATATTAAGCTTCCATAATACAATACATGTTATAATCAAATACATACAATTTATACTGCAATACTGTAGGAATATATAGAAGGTTTTAGTATCTAAATATTAAAAAATAGATAAAGTATGAAGTAAATATTGAAGCAGAGGGAATCTATTTTGTAACAAGGGGTACAGTATTGTGTCAGGCATCCTTTTCATATACAGTACGTAGATCCACAATAAAGGTTGCAATTGTAAACTTTGAAAAGGTCACTGCAAAAGATTGACTATAATTTCTACAGTCTGATAACCTGTTTTTGAACACTGAACAGATGCACAGTATATGACCTGAAGCAAAAATAAAGCAAGGAGTTTGTAATTCTTACTCATAACACTTAAGCAGGAACATTATAATTTGTCTTTAATGTTCTGATAGCTCAGCCTGCTATTTTTTGGTATAACTGTTCTGACGAAAGCTATCAAAGAGTCTGCACGCAATAAAAACTTTTTCTTCAAAAATATTTTGCTTTCAACTTTTTTCTTTATGAAACATTAAGAACTTCAGTGCATTGGAACAATCTTTGCAGACATGTTTTGGCTTTAAAGCCTTGAACAGTGTCAAATAATGCAGTTCTTCTCCTTTTCAAAGACAAAGGTCATAAGGTAATCTTAAAATCTTGTAGTTATAGTACACAAAAGGGTGTTGTTTAAGTACATAAATTACTTAATGTGTCAAAATAACTTCCATACAACTAGCACAATCAGTTATAAAACTGTTGAATGAAAAATGCAGATTTTTAAAAAGAAAGGTCACACCCAGATAAAAATTCACACAGAGGAAAGTTTGTTGATTAATTATTAATATATGCTTGTTGTGCATTGCAGCAAAATGGGGGTGATGTTCATAGTAAATTAATTTACTCTAGCTGGTTCTCTGTGTTGTTGTCTCCCTGAACATCTGTGTAGCATTTGTCTATCAAAGTTCAAGGGCCTTGATTATTCTTAGATTTTTTCACCAATCCGTTTATAATTATTTTTCTTATTATTAAATAGTAAGCAAGGTAAAAAGGTTTTTACACTACCAAATAAGGAATATAAAAGCATCTTTAATTCACTAATCCAGCACAGATATGTCCTTTGAGTTGAAGTTGACGTCAGCATATCAATGGTGAATTAATGCAAAACCATTGTAGAAAAGGAGCTTCTCTGTTGTTTACATTAGTAAAAGAAACACCCCGTTCAAAGGGAAAGCTTTATACTGTATATACATTCTACACACATGCTTTCTTCTACTAATTTCTGAAATTGGAGCAGCCTAGTAATTGTAATAGACAGAATTCAAATGTTGGCCCCTGGAGAGATGTTGATTTAGCAGTGCCAAACTCCTTTCTATTAGGATATAAATAAACTGCAGTATATAATTTACTACCTAATCCCTTTGAGGACAACAGTATACACATTACAGTGCAACTGATGGTAGTTACAAGTCTACAAGGAGATTAACGTAGACCCCACAACCTGGGTTTGACAAAAAACAAAAATAACTGATTAACTTTCTAACGTCATCTGCAGTTAAATTAAACATTATTAGGTGAAACTTGCCTTCTATTTTATTGTCATTCTGTAGATTTTTTGGGCCCAGATGGCTTCCTCTTGTATTTTTCTTCATATGCCAAAAAGTGAAATGCAAGCCCGGCTCTGGGAGGTGCTCTTTTCTATTGTTTAAAACCAGCAGCAATGCAACTCACCACTGGCAACTCACTGGAGCTCAGCAGGTGTGAGACTGGTTAGGACCTCGACCAAGACTCCTTGGGAAAAACTAAGGTTGCTACTGGAAGAGGTGTTACTGTGGCCAGGGGCGATCACCTTGTGATCTGTGTGGGTCCTAATGCCCCAGTAAAGTGAGGTACAGGTACACTATACTGTAAAAAGGTGCCATCTTGCGGATGAGATGTAAAACCAAGGTCTTTATGCTTTTCACCATAACACTACATAACAATATGGCACAATTGGTATCTTTAGAAATGTTAATATTTATGCCATTCTTTTTAAGCACTAGCTAGCTGCATTGAGTAAATATGTGCCATCCTAGAGAGATTTGTTTTCCGGCATGCTGCAGATCACAACCATGTCAGCTTCTGGGGCGAGCAGGCAAGCCAGTAGAGCAAGATCTTTAATTCCATTAACGTTTATCTTAAGTGTGATTATTTTTCATCTAATAAAACAAGGTTCTGAGGCCACACATGAAATGTAAGAAATGCGATTAATTTTTCAATTATGTATGAACAAGAAAAAAGGGAATTTTGCTGAATGTACAAAGAGGTCTTTGCAGATTTCAGTTGGCAATCTGTTTTTCTAACAAAGAGCAATATTTACAGACTGTCGTGAT